GGGAGGGGGTGGTTCACTGGAGGCCCCCCCTGGCCCCTGCAGCCAGAACCCTCCCTTGGAATGCCCATCCGTTTGTTTTCACAGGAGACACCCTGCTAGCAATTCGAGCCCCGTCCGGCACCCGGCTAGAAGTTCCCATTCCAGAGGTGGGTGCTGGGTTTGAGCGAGCTGGGGTTCCTGGCAGGTCTGGGCTTTGCTTGCTGGGCTGCGGGGGGCAGAGGGTCGTTAGGAGAAGGCAGCCCCATGTGGACCAACGCCCTGAATGGTCTGTGGGCACTTTGCCTCCTGGTTCCCTCAGGGCCTGAACGGACAGAAGAAATACCAGATCCACCTTCCCATTCCAGAGGTGGGTGCTGGGTTTGAGCGAGCTGGGGTTCCTGGCAGGTCTGGGCTTTGCTTGCTGGGCTGCGGGGGGCAGAGGGTCGTTAGGAGAAGGCAGCCCCATGTGGACCAACGCCCTGAATGGTCTGTGGGCACTTTGCCTCCTGGTTCCCTCAGGGCCTGAACGGACAGAAGAAATACCAGATCCACCTGAAAAGCACCAGCGGCCCCATCGAAGTCCTGCTCGTCAACAAGGATGCTTTGAGCTCCCCCCCTGTGGTGCTCCCCGTCCCTCCCCCGGAAGACCTCATTCAGTGCCAGCCCGTCGCGGCCGCCAAGCCCCCGAGATCACCTGCTGCCCTCTTCCCGGAGGCATCCGTGCCCGGCGGTTCTCACCCGTCCACGCCCACCCCGACCAGCACTCAGGACCACAGCCAGGCTGCATCGAAAGCCACAAGCCCAGGTCGGGGAAGGGGGCTGGCTGGGCATGTCTGGGAGCTGGGTGCGAGTACTAGAGCGCTTGAGCGGGTGAACTGCTGCCCATGCCCCCCGCTCGCGGCCAGGCTGGTTGTCCCCTCGTGGCAGAGACCCCGCTGCTCCCCCTACAGGCGTGGGAGGTGGCCGGGGGGCATGAGGACCAGGCCGAAAGCCCGTAGACACGCCTGCCTGTGTTCCCCGGGAGCCTGGCTCAGGTTCGGCCTG